CGTCATATTTTGTAAGAATCGATTCAATCTTCAAAAAATTTAAACAAATTAAGAATGCCAGGGAAGCGATTGTCATTTGACATGATTCATGGTTTATTATAACCACTCCATAGGAAAATCAGTGGCGGAGATCGCAGAAATGTTTATAATATCGAAGAGGACCATTTACAATATTTTAAGCCGCGCAGAAAACAATGAAACACTGGAGCCAAGGCATTCAACTGGACGACTTCGGGCGTTAACAGATAGGGCCGAGCGTATTCTGGCCAGGAAAGTTAATGATAACCCAACAATTTCGACCAGAACGCTTGCCAGGGAGCTGCAGGAAGAATGTCGTATTGACATATCCCGCGAAAGTATCCGCAGAGCCCTAAAAAGGAACGAGTTTGCATTCCGAGTTGCGCGGAAAAAACCATTGTTGTCGTCGAATTATGAGAAAAGACGTCTAACATTCGCCAGGATGCATGCGGGACATGTGGATTCATATTGGGATATCACATTTAGTAGTTTTTTTTAATGTCAAAGAACAAAAATGCTTTTTTTTCCCCATGTGAAAACACTTTTGTGTCAAACTGTATATCGAATATCCTATTTTGGCAACATTTATTCGTAAATCTGTATATCTGTGCCATAGTCAAATGCAAGGGACTCTTGGGCAATGTTGTTGTTCTTGTCATTTTATAATCCCAAAGACAATAACTACGTTAATAGCCATGTGAGGCCAGCGGCCAGCCACAAAAATGACACAAAGAAAGAATTTCGAATAAAAAAGGGCGAATGCATGTAAAAAATGTTGCTTTAAAACTTTCGATTAATCCGACATCTGTGAACAGAAAACAATTACAGGTTTATTTCAATACATACCAAAAATAACAATATATCTGGCTCAGGATATTCGATTAAAATCAAAGTTCCTCATCAAGAGCTTCTATCTTTTTCTTCTTTACAGTCCTTATTTGGCCTCAAGTGATTTTCTTTTCTCTTTTGGGATCTCTATTTCTGTGTGGCAGAAGTAACCTCCCAGAAGATAATTTTAAAGGTAAATAATATTATTTTGATAATTATTTTACATTGTTTTTATTATTGGGAGCAATATATTAGGCGAAATCATCGTTACTTAGCCTAATGAACTTCCTTGAGCTTAGTTTTTCGCGTTGGAAGCTTCAGTCCAAGCAGACTTTTACAATGAGTCCATTACCATTAAACGTTTGTTAGAAATATTTTCGATGTTTTGTTTTAATCCAAAGAGGCCAAATCAAAAGCGACCAAGGACATTCTCTGCAGTTGGGCGGTGCTCGGACCCCATTACAACGAACTATCCGCGTTTACTTACATTTATTGACCCACAAAATTTTGCCTATGGACAAGCCTCGTCTATTAGAATGGGCCCAAAGAGTTATCGGGTCAGTCGARTATGGACAACCCAGTATATATACTTATCTAAATATATTTACCCATATTATATATTCTTTCTGTTGTATATATACCCATTTTCAAATATTTTAGGGTATAAAAAAGGAGCATGCTCTACTTTGTGCTTGTTGCAAACCCAAACTTCCAGCAAGAAGAGCAAGGAGGGTTAGCCACGTTAGTGCCTTTCGCCTCTAACAGTATTTGCCACAGTCACGCTCGCGTTTGCCTTCGCGCAACTTTGTCGAGCTGGAGGGTGGCATAAAAAGTGTGAGTTCTGCCATGTTGTCCAACACGTACATACATGTATGTACATATGTATGTAGTTGTTAGCGGACAAGTTTTACACTTTTAACATTTCAGCAAAATGGAAAAGCACAACGAACACTTCTTTCGGTGGAAACTGCACAACTAGATGATGCTCTAGTACGATATTGCCTGACTGATAGATTGACTAACTGACTGCCTGATTGAGTAACTGACTAATTGACTAACTGATTGAATGAGCGATGATTGACTGAAGGAATAACTGACTGACTGGCTGATTGACCAATTGATTAATTGTAAGGTTGACTGACTAACGAATGACTTATTGAATGACTGATTGGCTGACTGATCAGCTGACTGATTGACTAACTAATTGAGTATCTGAATAAGTGATTGATTGACTAAGGGACTGACTGAATGAGTAGCTATTTGATTGACTGATTGCATAGCACAATGACTGATTAATTGACTGACTGCCTAAGTAACCGACTGACTGAAAGAATATTTGACTGATATACTGAGTGATGCACTGATTAATTGACTAAAATTCGGTTAGTGATTAATTGAATGATTCACTGATTGCAGTTGAATGACAACTGATTAATAGGCTAGCTTAATGACTGACCGATTAATTAGAACATTTTTCATACATTCTTGTTCATTAACTCAAAAGTATAGAGAGTTGGTAGGCTGTGAATGAGTATTACGCAGTCGGTTCCACTCACTTCTAGCGTTAGCAAAGTGTTAGACTAGATGTTTGCAAATTCACAGCCTGTAATCAAGTTGGGTCAAGTTTCTGATGCATTTTTTATGCCGCGTACAGCATGCGAATTTGCATCTGGCCCAAAAGATTAACTCTTTTTATTGGATTGCAACTGCGGCCAGCAAATGAAATTGAAATCAAAATCCGATTTTGCATTTTCGAGGAAAAAATAAATAAAATGCTTAATATTGGTCAAAGTCTATCACTTGGAAGTGCAGAGGATCAAACAAGTTCGAATTGCGGGTTTTTACAATTTCAACAGGGAACTAGGCAGGCACATAAGTAAATGCTCATACAGATGACCAAGGTGTGCCTGACTCTCAGCGCCTTCATACACTGCTCACAAAAATTGAAAAGGAAATACTACACTTTTGCAGGAGCATAGAAAACCCTTTTATGATTTTTTGGTATGCTGCTCTCTGAGGGCAACAAATGGAATTTGCATGCTTTGCTGCATGTGAATGTATTAGGGAGAGAGAAGACTCTGGAATTTCACATAAGAATCGAGCATTTCGCAATGGTGTGGAGCTCCCATATGCTAATCTATGTGGATACGAAATTGAGTGGGATGTAACATGTTGGCCAAATTATTATATCGCCAACTCGCATTTTCCATAGTCTAAATAGTCAGTCAATAGTCGAGGTCTAAAAACCCACCAGTGAACTCAAAGTTACCCCCACCACAGGAAGAAAAAACCATTTTAGTTGCGTTTTAATTAATAAATATGTAATGCATTTTGTATGTATTTACTTTAATGTCACTTTTTGCCGAGTTAAGTTGAAATTTGTTATTTTTAGCATGTTATACATATATATAGAAATATTTATATATTTTTTTTGTCTTTTTTTATTATTATTATTATATTTTTTTTAATGGCAAAATAAGCTGCGCTTCACCTGAATGGCCCTCGGATCGAATTCGAAATGTTTTGTTGATGGACTCGATTTGCTTGTCGTTTTGTATTCGATCTGATGTTAATAAATAAATAGTATTAGATAGTATACAATGTGATAGTTAATTGGTTTAGGCGTTTAGCAATAGAGTTTCATTAACGTCTGTATACATGAGCTATCTGTTAATTGTAACTATATAAATTTATTATTTATTTAACTTGCTTGCTCGCCGCCGGCTCTGTGTGTTTGTTGCAAAAATAATGCCATTGCGAACGATTAGTTACATATATAGTATTTATAATTGTTAATGAATACGTATGTATGTATATTTTGTTGTATACATGTGAACTTGTGATTACCTGCACATTTAGCAATATCTGAAATATTCTCATCTTGCCATCCGCTTTGTATTAATTAATAATTACATGCATGCTCAGTCGCATGCCGTTTGCTTTGCTTTTCAATTGTTTAATATTTATATATATATGCATGTACTTATAAAGTTGCGTTTAACTTTGCCTTCTGGTGCTGTTTGACAATTATAGCAAAAATAAGCTCTTTTTAATATAAGTTTTCGTTTACTATGTCGTAGCTTAACACAAATAATTCAATGCACACCTTATTGTTCTTGATATTACTGTTGTTATTTGCTTTTATTGTTATTTATATTTTATTGCTCAGCGGCTCACCTATTTCTGTTACATTTCAAATGACATCCATTGATAATTAGTGCACATTTCGCAAAGCACTTTTATTGTAATTATACACATTTGTTTTGACGACGCTAAATTAAATGCATTTTGTTTTGTTTACTCTTTAAATTTTACTGTTTACTGTTTACTGTTCACGGCTTACGGCTTACGGCTTACGGTTTACTGTTTGTTAGTTGTTGTTAACCAGGCATCTTACTTAAGCTATATTAAGTATATTTTTGACATTCAATACGCACAGTACAATAATGTGTTAATCATATACATATACATATACAAAAAATAATATCCATATAAATGACGAAAACAATTCAACGAAATCTCAGCTCATATTTGATATTTGGCATTACTGCAAATTATAAATGTAGTTAATAAACCTAATCAATACTAAATAATTAAATTATAAATTATTGCTGTTTATCGCATTGGCAACGAAAATAAATCCTTTTAGAGTATTGCCTCCATCCTACTCGCACACACGCACGCTTTCTGTCTCCCTCTCGCTCTCCGGCTCGTTCTCTCCATCTCTTTCTTAATATCGCTTTTGCTGCTTCCAACTGTGTCTCTCAATGTCTTCAAACACTCAAAACTCGAGTATTTTGTATATAAACAATTTTTTCTATATGTATGCCTTAAGCAACACACACACACACACACACATACACACACTTACTCTCACACATGTACGCAAAACACAAAATTCAGTCTTTTTCATGTACATCGAGAACAAATCAAAACATTGAAACAAAACTTGAAATACAAAGCAAATCTTAAGCGAGTGCTTAGTATTACTGGGTTGAGTATGGCTAGTTCCTGTTTGTAATTGCGGCTTCGGTTGATTGAGTGTTATTTGTGGTGCTTGGGTAAATGAGAGTACATTCAGATAATTCAATTAAAGCATGTTGGACTGTATAAACAACAGACATACGACGAGTTATCTTAGTGTATCTCTGTCAGTATCTGTGTGTGTGCGTGTGTGTGTGTGTCTGTGCTGAGAGGTGCATAAGCATAATTATATAACGCTTGAGTTAGATATAAATTGGCGTCTCCTGGCCGGTTAGCAGACGAAACATGGACGTAGGCATAGTTTTCATCAAAATCTATCAAGAAAAACCAATGAAAAATTTATAAATTTAGTCACAGATGTACATATGTATATATGCATATATATATAGAGAGAGAGAGATTTGTGTTTGTGTACCTCGCCCACAGATGAGGACAACAACTTGACGATGGTATCGTGGGGAACAGCAACCACACTTTGATTGTTAATCTCAATGATGCGATGGCCAACTCGTACACCGCCGCGCTCCGCGATGCCGCCACGCAACAGGCTGCAAATCTGTTGAGAACACAAAACGGTAACCATTTTCTTTTCGGCTGGGAAATATTGACGCATGGCACTTACCACACCGTTTTGCACGCTGAAGCCGAGCTGAAAGAGCGCCTTGGGCCGCAGGATCTTCACCTCAACGACAGGCGGACAGGGCACTACGGTAAACTTGACGGCAGTTTGATTCTTGGCATTGCGTATGTAGGTCTGGCAGGTGGATAGCGGCAGACCGACAAGACTCATGCCGTTAATGGCGATTAGCTGATCGCCAATGTTCAGCTGGCCGCAGCGAGCGGCTGCACCGCCGGACATCAGATTGGCAATAACCACCGTTGGCAGCATCGAGCCCCAGCCACTCTCCACAATAACAACGCCCAGAATTTCGCCCTTCGCCTTGGGTACCACAACTTCCTTCTGCAGCTCCTTTTTGGCGAATATCTCCAGCTCGTCGCCGAATATCTCCTGGCTGTTGAGCACCTCCTGGTAGTCCATTTCTTTGGCCAAGTTCTCGTTTTCGATGCCGTTCGCTTTCAAGAACTCCATGTAGGCCACCTGAAACGCCTGCCCGATGGACTGCGCTATAAACTGCGCCTCGTCGCTCTCAAATACATGGCATATCATTTTGGGCGTGCGATTGTGCTTATTCGACGAGCTGCTCTCCTTGTTACTGCCGCTGCTCTCCTTCAGCGACTCGCCCTCGATGGTCTCTCCCGGGCTCGAGGTCGACAGCGAGTCAACGACAACGCCACCGCCATTGGGTATAAAGCGGCGCCGCGCCATCAGCACTACCAGGTCGCCAATGTCGGCTATGTAGGAGATGGTGCGCAGGGCGTGGTCCATCATGATCTCCTTGAGGTCCGTGTTGAGCACCATTATCTTCTCGGTTGATATGAACAGATCCACTTCGGTGCTCGGCTGACTTTCGCCCTCTGGCGCCTGGCAACAAATGAAACCGTCTCGTCAGTCACTTGCAAACGTGATGCAAAACAAATAATTGTGATCTAAAATTTTGATTTGTGTTTGTTGCTTACCAAAGCCTAAAGATATCGAGGATTACGCAGCATGGGTTAATTTAGGGGTGTGGTTGTGGGCGAGAAAAGCGAGATGCATTATAGACAAAGAGGCGACAATAGACCAAGCATATGCTAAATGGGACGCAACTGGACATGAGTTCAATGAGCTAGGGGCACATACCTTGATGCGGGAGACGGCCTCCTCGGCTTGCATCATGCGCGTCGACTTGGTCGGCTGACCCTCGCACACCAGCTGCGTGGAGCCCAGGTAGCGGGCCCGAAAAAGTACGCCCTCAATAAGCACTTTGGGTTCCAAGAAACCTGATCGATTCGAAAGAGCAAACTGTTAATATTGTGGCCTTTTTCGGTGATTGATTCAATTCAAGCTGTTTTACGTGCAATATATACGATATAAGGGAAAAGTTATATATGCTACACTACCTCAACTACAGAGCCCTACATTGTTTACATGCTTAAGTATATATTCGAATTAATATACCAATATGGAATAACAAATATTTACAATAACTTTGAATTTAAATTTTTTATATATTAAATTTATTCTTATGTTTTCACACCTTTTATTATTATTTATCGCCTCTGCTCTTTAAAGTTTCTATTTATCTAGTATCAAAAACAGATTGCACAGCTCATAGCCTCATCTTGTTTTCATTCTTCGATTTAAGACCTTTCCATATCAGCCTATTGGTATATTATCTTTAATAATTCAAATTAAACTATGAGAACCATGTTAATATCGATGGGCTCTATAGTAAGGGCATCATTATAAAGTAATATTTTGAGTGTTTAAAGGTTACTTTTCCTACTATATAACTCTATTTATAATTTTTCAGTCTTAATTTATAATATTATTTACAATCACTAGTTTATTCTGAGCCCAATTAATTATTTTAGTTCTCTACTAATATTTCATTTCGTTGCTAGAACTAACCAAACTGCTTCTACTTATTTATGATATAATGAAACAGATAGGGATAGAGATAGTGAGAGAGAGAGAGCACATCCACTTACATGGCAGGCATCACACCATCAAATACACAAATGAAAATTGCAATATGCAGCAGTTGGCAAAGAAAAAACGTGAATGTCAAAATTGATTCAGAAGAAAAGAGAGAACAAAATGATTGTTCGGTTTTAATTTTATGGGGCGTTTCCATTAGCAACGCACAGTCGAATAAATTCGCACACACACACACGGTCACATATACACACCTTCCTTATTTCGCGAATGGGTTTTCTTGTCGCAGTTGGCCGAGTCTTTCAGCGATTTGATGGATCCCGTTGGGCTCTTTGTGTATTGCAGTTTCTCCGGCGAACTGATCGAAACGTCCGCATTGCCCACAATCTGGCAAATGTCCGGGGAGTTGGGCGTCAGCGAGGTGCCAATGCCCTGCCGTATGGTGGCCGACGAGTACGTTTGCGGCTTGGGATTGCTGTTGTTGTCGCTGATATTCAGGCTGCTGCTGTTGGTATTGATCAGGCCGTTGGCATTGCTGTCGGCGGCTCCAGCTAGGGCCAATGTCTAGAAGAACAAAAGGGCAGTTCGATCATGTCTGCTAATGCGAGTTGGCCTATATCGCTCACCTGTTCGGCAAAGAAGTCCTTCTCGCCTAGCAGCCGATCCGTTTCGAGATCTGTGTCGGCTTCCTCATCTTCGTGGCGTCCAGCTGTTGCCGTTGTCGTGGCGCCCTTGCGCGGTACCCATACCGGCGAATCCGGATCCGCGGGCAGCACTTCATCGCAGAACTTCAGTTTGTCCGGCTGCGCCTTGGCGCGCTGCAGGGCCGAACGAATCTCTTTCATGGCCTCTTGTATTTCGACTGGCGGTGCGATTGCTGCTGGCTTATTGCCGGTTGTCACAGTCGCGGTCGCATTCGCAGTCGCGGCGACTGTTGATGCCAGAGCTGCTGCATAGACTGGACCGTAATGCGAGTCTGCGGGATTGTCGCTATCAGCATTATTGCCATCGTTCAGCTGCGGCTCCTCTTCGCATTGCTCCAGCGGTGGAGTGGCCGTTGGCGACGTAGGCAGCGGCGTTTGCGCTGACAGCGCTGCTGCGAAGTCGATCGGCTGCGTGATATCAGCTACTGCTGCAGCCGTCTCGGTCGGTGCGATGCTGTTGTGTTCGATCGGCAGTCGCTCGCTGTCGCCGTTGCCATTGTGCTCGTGCTCAGGTTTGATTTGCGGATGCTGCAGCAGCTGCTGCTGCTGCTGTTGTGGCTGCAGCTGTGTTTGAGGCTGCTGCGGCGCCTTGTCACAGACGACAGAGACATTGTTCTCGGTGTCCGAAGCATGGCCACTGCTGAGACCATCCTCCAGCACCGGCATGCTGGTGTAGAGCTTGCCATAGTCAGTTGTGGCGCAGTTGATATCGTTCGATAGGCTGTCCAGATCGCCACAGTTCGAGTCGTAGTCTGTCGTCTCCGGGGACAGCGTAAAATTACGCGAATGCCGCCGCAGATTCGCCTCCAGCTCAGTGTCGGCCAGGTCGCCGCTGCTGCGACTGTTCGAATCGATGTACAGCTCGATGTCGTTGTGCTCCTGGTAGGCATTGTGCTCGTTCGCCTGTGAATGGAAGTAAGGTTGCATTAGAAAGTTTTCAATTTAATAATACGATATACATATATGCAGTTGTGCTCATAAATTCAGTAGTGGATAACCTACTTGAATCGAATAATAATAAAGTTGTCTTTTGATATGAATTAAGGAGTACTTCGGAACGAAAAATTCTCAAAATGTAGGACATTAATTGAACACTATCTGTCATGGAATAGATGTTTTCATTATAAGGTTATCCCTTTTTAAGGTCTAACAGGTCTATTTCTCATTTTTACCGAGCAATGCTTCATTCAATCTGAACACAAAAACTAAACAAACACTCGAATTATATAAATCAATCAAATTTAACTATAACTAATTACTCTTTCTGTGCATGCGATATTTTTAAAATTTACTATTATTTATTTTCTTTAACTGCTACTGTTTCCACGAACAGTCAATGCTCAATGCATTTCGTTAAAGTAACGTTTGTTAAGGATGCTTTCGCGTTTTTCTTCTATACATTCTATTTTGAATGAGAGTGAGCATTTTTGCATTTTCTATCGGGGAAAAGTAGTGTTTCATTAGGTTTGGTTTGTGTGGTGGAGTATTACTTTTAAATACAGTTGAGGTCATGGAAATAACAGTGGGGCAGCATACAACACCAAACAATATTTAATATTTACACAAATATATATTACATTTACACATATGCATATGTGTGCCACCTATGACTCTTTGACCCACTAACCTGCATCCTGGGCGAACGATGGACCATGTAGAGTTCGTCTTTGGGTATTCTAGCTAGACGCTGGCCTATGTAGGCTTGCTCGATATGTTTGTCCACTTCGCACACGCGCGGCTGTATGTCCTGTATTGGATGGGGAGAATTGAGCAAAGATTTCACTGTCTGATTTCCTCTGGAGGAGCCTTACCGAACTGGCCACATCGTCTCCACTTTCCGTAGTGTAATCCGTGAAGCGCTTCTCGTCGTCGTCGGGATTGCCCTTAAAGAACTCCTCGAGCACTTTGCGAGTCTCCGAGAACTCGTACAGATAATCAAAAGTGGGCGTCTTCGAGGCTGCCGTTGCGGACGTGCCCTCGTGGTCTATCAGATCAATTAGATTGCCAACGGATGTCTTAACGTTGTTATCCAAGCGTTGCTTTGTGGGTGAGACACGTTGCGGAAAGCCAGGCGGTCGTCGCGGACAGCAAGCGCCCTTGGCAGCCACTTGCTGGTTGCCAAAACGACGCGGGGAGCCCTCATATTCGGCTATGGGCAGCTGCCCAATCATCTTGGTGACCTTCAGAACATCCTCGTTGCTGTCCCTTTCTGCGGCTGTCAGTGCTGCCGACTTATTCATCCAGTTTGTGTCGATGTCGTCAAACACAACGATTTCGCCATCGCGCAAGCACTGCCCATCGGCCTTTCCCACGTCGGTTGGCGAGCCGGGACTCGCTATGCCCTAAAGGTTATATAAAGAAAACAGATTATCGGGGAACTTGGCAAAGTTATGGGGTTCACCTCACCTCCGCCTCAAACTGGCTGCTGCCCGGGCTGCGGCCCAGGCGTATCTGGTGCGGATGCGGACGCTGGTAATAGTAGCCCGATTGTTGCTGCTGTTGTTGTTGTTGTTGCTGTTGTTGGTGCTGTGAGCCCATGTAGCCGGGCAGCTGATGGGGCGGCGATACCCGCTCGAAAGCCTGGTGATGATGCATCGGCGTATACTGCAGCTCAGCATTCAGATCCGGCGAATTCAACACAGTGCTGGCTGGCGTCACATTTGGGCTACGTGTGCGCATCTCCCAGACGTAGCGCTCCTGCGAAGCTGGCTTGCACGCAGCGCCAAAGTTCATGTGCAGCTCCGAGTGGGTGCCCGACGCCACGTGATTCACGTTCCGCTCCATCGACTCGTTGCTACTGTCGCTGCACGAGTTCATCCCGATAGTTAGCTGCACTTGACCACGACGCTGTGTGGCGCGAGTCTTAAGTCTACCTTTCAGCAGCCAGTGGAAATTTCGACTGCCGCTGACATGCTATGCTCGGAGTCAGTTGCCTGGAGGAGAGAACAGACACCGTGATTAGCATAAACGAGGCCAATTATCTGTGCACACCTCTCTGTCTTTCGATGATCTAATACTCTGAGTTATCTCTGAATCATTCCGAATGCAGTTCCACCAGCTGGGGCAGCTGTTTGTGCTATTAATATTATTTATTATTGCTATTGTTATTGTTATTCTTATTAGCTGCTGGCACAAAAATCAATGCACAAATGGGCTGCAAGAACATCGAGACATGGCACACGTGTAAACGTAATTTTCACTCCTACTGTGTGTGCGTTCCGTTATTTTTATTTTTTTCGTTTTCGTTTTTTATGAATTTGCGCACGTAAACTTGGCCTTTAAAAATAAAATAGGAACAAAATAAAAAGTTCAACAGGAAGCTGCCGCATCCGAAACAAGCGCCGTGCTAGACAGCGTGTGAATGTAATGTGACTCAAACTACAGTGTGCGCTCGCTGCAGAGAACCAGACTATAATTAATGTTAAAAAAATATAAAAATAAAAGTTGAGCAGTAATTCTACTTTTTCTCGGATTGCTTAAGGCACATACAGACACACATACATATGTACATGTATTATGTGCAATGACTTATAATCATTATTGTTGCATTATTCACAGATTTGAATTTACTCAACATTATGATTCATGATTGAATTTTCATCAAGTTTTTTTGAGCTTGACTTCTACTTCTTAAACACCTAGACTTTTAGCTAATGGTTTCTAGCGTGAGCCATGTTGACTCTAGCAAATATATACCGTACGGCTGTCGGACTTTAAATAGGACGCTGCAGCCGCCGGTTGTTTTGTTTTTGGATTTCATGGCGCTCCCCGCCTCCGCTCCGAATGCAGTGCGACCATCTGTCAACGTCTACTTATCTTATGGGGCAGCGCAGTGATTCGAATTAGATGACATCAAAAAGCGCCATGCACACATACACATACAATATATCTGTATTTGTGTATATAAATGTACATGTAAATGTATATATGTTTGTGTATGTATATTGATTCACAGTGTGCGTGGTATTGGCATAGAGTATTGTTAAAAATCAATATATTTGCAAGGTTTGGTGTGAACGACAATAGCCGTATAGCTCCCCACCAAGAACATTTAACGTGCCCGCCAGTAATAGCAGCGACAACAACAGCAACACCAGCAACAACAACAATGGACAGCATAACAATGCGTATTTTCTATCTTTTTGGGTGGCGATTCACCCCCCCCACCGACTTGAAATAAATACATTTCATTTGGGTTTGTGCACAACACAGTAATAACTATAACGATTTCATATGTATTTTAAGAACACTTTTGCACTTTGCAATAATTACACGGTAAATTACCATTTAATACATATTAATCACTTTCTTCCTGCTAGTAAATGCATTTATAACTCGATAAAAAAAGTAGAAGCCGTTAGTGATGGATAATTTCAACGATGTCTCCCGACATATCTATCGATTATTGCAAACGATGCATCGATAGCTTTCAATTGGACCAAGCGCGTATGGCGATAACGATTAGCCACCCGCCGTTAGCTACAGAAGAAAACACAATACCAACCGAATCGGACGTACCGCGGATCGCGACCGTTGCGCGCGTTTAAAGTGTGTGACTATTTTTTTGTTGTTGTTTTGCGTGTAATTCGACGCGCGCGAATATTTGTAAATTGTTCGTTAGTTAAATAATAAAGAGAAAATGCAATAAACAAAAGTGAGTTAATATCATGCGCTATTGTCCATGTCTTAGCTAAAATTGTTTGCACCAATTGTTGTGTCGCCAAAGGTCGGCTAATACACTTGTCGGTCTGAGCTGACTTTTGAATTGAGCTGCTGTGTCAGTGCTCAGCCTAATTAGCGCACGCTGCTGTTCTTCACACTTTATATCCTAGGGAGACAGATACACATGCCGTCGCTGCAGGAGCAGCAGGGTGTGTTCCTTCCTGTGCCTTTTCGCTCGTGTTTTTGTGTGTGTGTGTGTGTGTGGATTGTGAACCTGTGCTAAAAATCAATAAAGCACGCTCGTGCAGAAGTCAAACAACAAAGAGACGACAAGTCCTGTTTCGCTCACACTCCCACAGTTAGATATGAACACATGTGCGTGTGAGTTTTCTCGTTCACATCTTTAATTCTTTTTTGTTTTACTTTTTTTTTGTTGTTGTTGTTGTTTCTTATTATTTGTTGTTTGTTTTCTGGCTGCCAAGAAGGACGACAACTAACAATAAAATCCGCAGCAATTAGAGAACTTGGCAATTATGCGCGTCGCTTTGTGCAATTGAAATTGCAGGTAATTTCACACATGCTAGTAATAGTTTAAAGAGAAATACATTTATGTATATGTATGCTTATGTATGTATATGTATATTGCTTTGAGTGCATCAGCTGCAGGCATAACAACGACAACAATAGCGCTAAATAATAAAACACCGTTAAATGCGCGCGCCTACTTAGTCGAGCATGACCAAAGCACCCAAAGCATTAAAACCCGTTGCTTTATGGTTGTTGCTGTTCACTTTAAGTAGTTCTTGTTATTGTTGTTGCTGTTACTGTTGCTGTTGCTGCTGTTGCTGCTGTTGTTGTTGTGGCAGCTGGCAATTGCAAGAAACGCAATTGGAAACGCACTTGGCAACGAAACAGCAAAACAAACTTTTGCCTGGGCAGCTGAATTATTGCCTCGAGACTGCAGCTCCTTGCCCCAAATTATAGGCATTAATCCTTGCTGCTTTGGTAACCGAGCGAGTTGAGCGAGAGTATATTTGCTCTTAACCAAAATTGATGTCTAAGTGTGCTGCCAATACCAGGCAATACCAAGCTAAGCCAAGCCCTTTAATATTCAATTTACCAGCCGAATGAGGCCAAGTGTTTGGGCTCTTACATTTGGGTCATAGCGGGGAAATAAATTGTCTTAAAAATGCAAATGCAATGCAAATTGAATCCTTTTATATCACAATGAATTTGTATGTGTATATTTACTCTTAAAAGAATTATATCTTGCGAATAGTAGTTACTATTACTATAAGAGTATGGGTTGATTTATATTGAAAATGAATTAAGTACTCCGAGGTGAATACATGTGTAATTAATACTTGAAAATTTGATAATGAATTCAAGAAACTTTACAATATTATATAATTTTTAATAAACATAGCTCTACCTACCTATATTTGTTTATTTCGCGTATTCTCTTACTAACTTGGAGCATTTTAATTGCTTTGCGTAAAGAGTTCTGACTGTTTTCGTTTGCTTCTTGTTTCCCTGTTCTTTTTATTTATTTTATTTTTTTTTTTGTCGTATTTGTAAATTGGCTTGACTTCTCTTAGAAGTCGTTGTTAGCTGTTTTGACAACAACAATTGAAATAGTTAGGCATTTTACTGTTTGCCTTGTGATTCGTTCGTCGTGTTGTTGGGCGTAATTAAAAATGCAGTTTTCGCGGCCCGTTTAACTGGCTTTACAGTTAGCAATAGCAGTTCTAAATTACACTGTTAAATTACACTAAATACATTATAGTAAATCATCAAGTCTTGCAGTCAGTCATGCTCTGATTTGGTTGCAGATGCCGATTCAGATTCAGATTCGGATTTGGATGCAGATTCGAATTCAGATACCGAATTCGATTCCGATTCAGATGCCATAACATGAACAAAAGGCGCAACGAAACAATATTTCGTATCAGTTAACGCTGCTATCAAACATACTAATTGACTATAGTCTATATCAGTCGGAATATCTATCAGCTGACATGTGCCAATGGCTTTTATCTAATCAGCTCAGACTTCTCGACTGAGTCATCGCTGCTGCAAAAAACGCAGATAGTTGCCAAACTGAATACAGTAGTCGCTCGCTAAATGAAAATGTGATATTCTTAAAAACAATATTGAATGTCATTCGAGATATGCATATGGCAAAATTATATATATGTTAAATCAAGCTAAATAATATATATAATATTATATAAGAATAAATATGATAATACAATATCCGATTATATAAGTTTGTTTATTTTTACACAAGTCCAAACAAAATGCGGTTTTTGTTCATTACTTAATTCAGCTTGAGTTCACTTAACTTGGTTTGTCGATCATCAAGCCAAGTTAATTTCCCATGTTGTCGTTCAGTACCTGCACTCTTTCTTAGTGTGTGTGTGTGTGTGTGTGTGAGTGTGTAGAACAAACGAAAAGTCGATAAACCAGTTTGGGACTTGACTCGGAGGTAAGTGGAATCAAAACATTTAAGGCACAATGCTGGCTAGGGAAACAGATTCTGTTGGGATTGAGAAGCGTAGCAGCAGAGGCAGCAGCAGCAACAATTTCCTCATCGCCTTTTCATTCAATGTTTTTCACGCTGCGCAATTTTGAAAGTCGAACGCGTAGAAAAATGAGAGAGAGAGAAAAAGAGATGGAGAAAAAAACTTGATTGGCGCTATAATGCATATAATGCATTTAATTGAATCACCTGGTTACATGGCTGACCTCCGATCTGTTCCCCTGCAAAGGCAATCTCAGCGATGACCGCTAATGTTGCTAATGAAGGCTTATAAATGATTCATTCATAAAGGTTAATGAAAATACGAATCAATAATGAAGATGTAAAAAATGTATATCTAGAATATTTAAGCTTGACGATTACGAAAATACTGGAGAAGGGCAATAGTTAGTGGAGGAGCTTTGCGAATGCGAAGAAGAAATTGAGAGAATGAGAGCAGAAATCGATGTGCGAAAGAGGCAGGAATAGGGCTGGCAGGTAGTTGAGAATGAGATGAGAGAAGGAATCGATGTACAATAGAGGAAGCAAAAGAGTTGGAAGCATACGGAAATTGCGTGAAGGCAAGTCTATAAAAACCGCATTGAAAGGCGATAGTTAGAAGAAGAGCTCAGAAAGTGCCAAGAAGATGGCAAAAGCTAGAGAATGAGATAAGAGCAGCACGTGATGTACAAAAACGAAAGGCTTGAGAACATAATGAAAATCGCATAGAAAGGCGAGAGATGGCACGAGTATGTAGAGGGCTTCCAGAAAGTGGAGCGAATGAGAGACGGAATCGATATAGAGAAGATGAAAGGAATAGGAATCAAAATGCGATGAAGGCAGGGCTATGAAAATGGCATAGAAAGGCGAGAGTTGCCTGGAAAGAAGAGGAATAAGGGAACATAAAAAAAGTGAGAAAAGAGCGAGTGCAAGGTTAAGTAACAAAGACAAGATAATATTGAACGAGAGATACAAAATATCCAATATAATTTCTACTTATGAAGAGTATTAGATATACTCCAATCACAAAGAGTTTGGCATATTTAAAGGACATAAAAAAAGAGGTCTCAGCGTGTTGCTTGCATGTCGAGTGCTTCACAGACTCTCAAACCGAAACAAGTTAACAACATGAAAACAAAACACACGAGAAACAACAATTGTAGGGTTGTAGGTTGCCGATGGAGTGGCATTTGGCGTTGCTGGAGGTTGTCGGGGGCCTCAGATGGCCGAATGTGCACTTAACAAAAAATGAGCCAAAGCAAAATGGAAAACAAATTCATAATAATCGACAGAAACAACAGAGTTTTCGGTGTCGTTTTACCAATTGTGTTTGCTTATTGCTCGTCCGTTTATCGCATTGTTCACTTCCTTGTCTCGGTCTCGATTCGACGCGACTTTGAACTTGACTGCGGCCTAAGATGGTCTTGCGGCTGGAGTTGAAGTTAAGCCTTGGACTTGAGTTGATTATCGGAATGGGAACTGGTGTTAATATGGCCATTGGTATTGGTATTGGTATTGGAGAGCGTGCCCTCTTGACCTTGCCTTGACGGCTGTCTAAGGCTTGGAGCGCCGTCTGCAACAAGGCTGGCAAATGATCTCACATACACATAAAGCCGATATCCATACAACCCCGTGACCCAAATGCCGCATAATAAGTGCAACAACTGCAACAATTTGCGCGGCTCACGGCGCATATTCAAAGCAACTGCAAAAACAACAAAAGCCGAGTTAATAAATGAAATGAACAGCAAAAAAGACAACAGCCAACAACCAACCGCACAATGGCCAAGCAATAGGCATGGAAATTGCTTAGATCCATAAATTGTGTCAGCGGCAACAAAAGCACGTGCCACCGCACAGACAAAGCACATCTACAGAAAGACTGGCGGACAGACATGTGTGAATAATTGTACATCTATTTTCTATTGTTCAATAATTAAAATCGTACAGCATTATACAACAGCTAAATATAGATGTAACTTTGGATAGTTTCGGGCTCGAATTGCAAATGTATTCTGATAAATAGCTAAGAATATTTGCGATGCAGAGACATCTTACTGACTCAACCCTATATGTATATCTATGTACATCTATGCCTATATCTAGTACACCAGCAGTTGGAGTTGGAAACTGATAAACTAAAGCTGTTCACTGAGAATTCGAATTCCGGTTGGGTTAAACGGCTCAAGAAGTAAACATTA